ACTACCCCTACCCTTACCGTACGTACGTCGTTACGTTAGTAAGGGTAACGTACGGACGACTAGTCGTACGTACGTACTACTTACTACTACACTTATTAATTTAATTACTACTACTCTCTCTCTCTCTTCCCCCCCCCCCCCCCCCCCCGCTTCTGTCTCTTTCTCTCTCAGACACACACAAATCTTTTAGTTAATGATACTTCTCAATCTCTCTCAGTTCTTTTGATGACAAGCTCTTTCAATTCTTGTCATATACTTGTCATTTAATTTGCTTGTATGCTGAGATCTTTTGACAAAGATCTTCTGCTACTTTTCTTCATCTTTCTTGCATGAAACTGTTTAATTGAGGACTTTTTTTTTTTGAGTGGGTAATGGGCTAGGTCAGCTTTATTTGGTTTATGTCGAATTAACTATGGAAAAAGTTTATACAAGGTTGCAACCTTAAAATGTAGAATTAAGGTTCACCTAAAAAATACATCGTAAAAGGTTATTTTAAAGTTGGAAAGCCCTCTAATTGATCATCTTAACATCCAGATGTATGAAAATGAAAAAACGAAGATTTTAAGTTCCAAAAATAATGCACCTTGCTGCACATTATCTGGACCATCCGTTTTCAAGATTTTTATGTATTTATAGATCTACTTTGATTTAAACAATTTTTGGAGTCTAAAATTTTATAATTAGAGATGAAAATGGATTCTCAGGCCATCCTAAGAATTTTCGGCACCAAAATTACATCTTGTGATAAAATTTGGTGGTACACCTTACTTTGATTGTTTAAGGTTGAAAGTTTATACAAACTACGCCCTTAAGTATTACTTCTCTCTATATCATGAATGAATACTTATATTGTGTCATTGACCACATGCCTGGTCTGCAGATCTACATGTTGCCCGAAGGCAGTCAGAAAGGGGACCTCCGCCTCTACCGAGCTCTCAAATTCCCTCTACAATGGACTCTTGAGAAGGTGATTCTAAAAAGGCCCATGGTGGATTCCTTTATCATTCAGCGCGATAGGAGTTTCTGGCTGTTTGGTTCTGACATCAGTGGGTTCAGCACCAAAAAGAATGGGGAGCTTGAGATTTGGTATAGCAAATCACTTCTTGGACCATGGAAGTCTCACAAGGGAAACCCAATCTACAACACTTTATGTAGCAGGGGTGCTCGCAATGCTGGCCGCCCCTTTATTTATGAGGGTCAACTCTATCGTATGGGCCAGGATTGTGGCGAAACCTATGGCCATCGTGTTCGCCTCTTCAGAGTCGAGGTTCTTACTAAAGAGGCATACAAAGAAGTTGAAGTCCCCTTTAGAATTGAAGAGCCCCAAAAAGCAAGAAATGCATGGAATGGAGCTCGTTACCACCACCTGGACATCCAAAGGCTGCCTTCCGGCCATTGGATCGCAGTCATGGATGGTGATCGAGTTTGGTCTGGGGATACAACAAGGAGGTTGATTTCGGGTTTGGCATCTGCTGCCGTTGTGGTCATATTGCTTGTACTAACAGGCATTTTGGTGGGTGCGATCAAGTGTGTGCTGCCCCTGAGTTGGTGCCTCAGCCCTAGCAAGAAGACTTCTCACATGGGCCCGAGACTGCTTAGGCTTTTCACTCGATTGAATCGAAGTGCAACCCTAATTCGTGGTCGCGTGAAGCCCAATACATGCTCAGGCATATTGATACTATGCCTGCTCCTTCTTCTTGGCATTGCATGCATGTGCATGGCTGTGCGTTACCTCTATGGTGGCAACGGGGCCGAGGAGGCATATATGTTAAATGGGGCATACTCTCAGTTTACCATGGTCACCATGACCTATGAGGCTCGAATTTGGAACCTGAAAATGTATGTAAAGCACTACTCAAGGTGTGCGTCAGTGGGTGAGATTGTGGTGGTTTGGAACAAGGGCCACCCACCCGACCCTAGTGAATTTGACTCAGCTGTCCCAGTTAGGGTTCGGGTTGAGGAGAGAAACTCTCTCAACAACCGATTCAAGCTTGACCCCCTCATCAAAACAAGGGCTGTTCTTGAATTGGATGATGATATAATGATGACTTGTGATGATATAGAGAGAGGATTTAGGGTTTGGCGTGAGCACCCTGAGAGGATTGTAGGGTTCTATCCTCGCCTTATCGATGGGAGCCCTCTGAAATATAGAGATGAGAAGTATGCGAGGATGCGAAAAGGTTATAATATGATATTGACTGGAGCTGCATTTATGGATGGGAGGTTGACGTTTGAGAGGTATTGGAGTGAGCGGGCAAGGAAGGGAAGAGAGGTGGTGGATAAATACTTCAATTGTGAGGATGTGTTGCTTAATTTCTTATTTGCGAATGCAAGTTCAGGGCAACAAGTGGTTGAGTATGTGAGGCCTGCATGGGCCATTGATACATCGAAGCTTTCAGGAGCAGCCATTAGCAAGGACACTCGTGCTCACTACCGTATCAGGACAGATTGCTTGCTGAAGTTTTCAGAGATGTATGGGAGCTTGGTTAATCATAGATGGAATTTTGATGGCCGGAAAGATGGGTGGGATGTATAGGAAGAGAAGTGGTATACGATTAAGAAAGAAAAAGAAAGAGAAGTAGAGCAGGAGAAATGGCTGGGATTGTTTTATTGATTTCTTGTTCATTGTAGATTACGTTGGTCTAACCTGGTGAGGGAGTACGGATTTTGATATTGGTTTTGGTGGTTTTTGGGATCCAGGTCAGGCTGTTTGTAAGAAAATGCATGTTTTTAACTTCTTTTTCCCCCTATCTTTTTTGAGGGCTTTCTGTTTAAATTGGTTTTTTATTTATATGGCTTGATGTATCTTTTCTTTTAGAAGCTCAGCTGATGAAATTGAGCCTTGTAGATTAGCAAGCCAGGATTGGCAAAGTTTGTGGTTATTCATAGGGGTTCTCCCATTTCAATTTTCTAATCTAACTCTGGCGATGTTCTTTGGAAGGGAACTGAGGTAACCAATCTATTCCATGTATAATGCACCAATTCTGGTTGGTCGTTCATTTATAAGTTGGCAAGAGCAACTGCTTTGTTTTTTGAATTGGATGTTTTGTTCATATTTTCGTAAGTGAGATCCTTGGTAGGAATAAGGCTTGTGCTTGAGTGGTTTGCAGCTGATATTTAGCAGCACCACATCTCAAGTTCGATTCCTGCCGTTGAACTGCCGAAAAAGAAAAAGAAAAAGATCCTTGTCCTACATAAATTTCTTTAGTTCTTTTGGTACTTCTAATCTCACTTTGTAACAAAGAAGAGTATCTCATAGAGCCATTCAACCATTATAACTGGGATTCAACAACTCATCCTATACCATCTGTTGTGCTCCTGTACACTTTGCCAAGTACACCTGACTAATAGAGATGTCCTAACTTGTTTCAATTATCCCTCATGCATGCAATCGCATAATTGAATGCACTCTAGAAATAAGCTGGCTAACAAGCATAACCCTCCATGATCCAATCTCCACCACTTATCTGTGAATGACAGTAGATGCGAAAGGGGGTGCTAGGGTTGCTCTCTAGCAAGCATACTATATATTCCATTCTTCATATCCTATTTATATGTCAATCGCATTCTAAGCAACATGGATCTTCCACCAGATACTTGCACAACAGTTGTCCAATATGGATCTCTTGTGCATCTGATTAATTTAACTATGAATATTTTCTAATTGTCATTTGATCATGGGATTATATACTATGTTTGGCACAAGGAGGTCACAATCTTTCTTTGACTTTTGAGGGCGATCCGTATAACACCCGGTAGCCTCCCGATTTGGATCCAATGGTCAATGGGTGATTATCTAATGATCAATGGGTGATTTTGGCTTCCTTGTCCAAAACATAAATGGTCTTTTTTATAATGCCCTTTATTAATTTATTATTTTACAATGTTGTTAGATTTAGTACTCTATTGTTCTTTTATTATCCTATTTCTCCAATCAGGTTGTTATAGAATGCCATAAAATTTAGGGAAAATTGCTTAAAACTTCCAAATATAGATTTTCTAGGCACTTGACCACAGACCAATTTTTTCTAACATATTTTTTCCCAAAACCAACTTTTTTTAGCTAATACCCCCAATACAAAAAGTTCTCTTTTCTTTACGAAAATAGCCTTCCCTTACGTAACAAATTATTTTCATTGGAGAGGGCAGTCGGGCATTAAAAGAGGCGGTCCACCGTTTAGAACAGGAACGGGTGGTCCGGCGTTTCATTGTGACGGTCTGAGGATTAGAGGATTAGAGAAATTGGCAGCCCAGTGTTTTGAAATAGCCGGTCTGGCATTTTGAAGGGGCAGTTCGTCATTTTAAGGTGGCGGAGTGAGGAGTCTGGTGTTGTACAAGTGCGGTCCGGTGTGTCCTTTTATTGGGATTCGAAAATGATTTGTTATATTCGGGAAAGGTATTTTTGTTAAAAAAATGATGGGTATTAGTTAAAAATGTTGGTTTTGGAAAAAAAAATATGTTAAAAAAAATTAGGCTGAGGTAAAGTGCCTACAAAGTCCATATTTGGGTGGTTTTAAGCAATTTTCTCTAAAATTTACTCTTGATACTAAACATGCCTTTAAATGGATTATTATATGAATTGACAGGACCATCTTACTATCACTTAGAACATGCATCTTACTATGCAATTTCAACCCAAGTACCGTACCCAAAGCAAGATATGCACCTTATTATATAATGAGTTATGATTCTATGAGACCCTCTCACACTCATGTATGTATTGACCCCAAATGTTCATTATTAAATCTGGCACAAATCTCTAAAAAAATTATTACATGGGTGTGGGACTTGATTTTTATAAAGATTTGTACTAAATTTAATAGTGATCCTTTAAATCCTAAACACATAGGCGTGGGAGGGTCTCACAAGGTCATTTCCTTTATAATAATATATTGTAGAGAAATCACGTCTGATATACTTTATCATGGAAAACCCTAGTGAAGCAAGAGAATCACGAAAGACACCACATCCATTGCTTAAACCGACAAGACTTACTACTTGTGAAACACCATCACGGTGTATGAGTCTGGAGTTGCTAAATGTGAAACTCCAACAGTGTAGGAGGAGCCAGGTAACACAAGCTCAAGAGTTCGAAATCCCGCTGCTTCCCTAAGGCGGCGAAATATATCTTTGGTTCTCCTCTTGCTTCCTGGACTATAGATTTCCATTAAAAAGACGTGAAGAGCTCGGGTACTTGGGATTGTATCAGTGTGCATACGAAGAATTTGCTCTAAGGCTATCACCTTCCTTGTCTCAGGCAGGGCTTTGTGGCAATTCTGAAGTAGGTGGACACAGACATCATCGTCCCATGAGCAGAAGATCCCCTACTATGATCCGACAAAACCAGTGATGATGCAGTTGGATGCTAGTTGTCTGTTTTTTTGCATTTTGTTTGTTTCACCTTTTGGGGATGGGTTAGGCTCTCTCTTATTGCTTAGCGGTTGATGTACGTATTTACTGTTTTTTGAAACGCTGGGAATCGGAAAGCATGGGGAACAATTTAAGAGAGTTCAAAACCTTATCATAAGAACCAATAAGTAAAAGGTGAAGCATGATACAAAGATTTTCCATGGTGTGCTGTTTATAATATCACAGGCTTTGCCATCCGAAACAAAATACGGAGATGAGCACAACTAACTAAGCATTAAAAAAAAGAGAAAAAAAAAAAAGAAAAGAAAGAAAATGATGGTATCGAATCCTCAGCAGGTCGTGAGTAACCTCCAAGAAGCACTCAAAAACCCTTTTTTTTTTTTTTGGCACAAAGATAAAAGATGATGGTTTCACTCTCCTTTGTCCAAGAAGCACTCAAAAACTTTTTTACTTTTTTTTAAAATTTTTAATACCAGGGAGAGAGAGAAAGAGAAATAGATGAAAGAGAAAGAACCTATTGGACAAAAGAGGGTTTTTTTTAAGATTCCCTTGCTATTCCTCACTTTTTTCTTATTCTCAATTTTTTACTATTTTCTTTTTGCTTTTCCTCAAAGTGATGTAAAGTTAGGGTTGAGAATCTACCTGATTTGGATCCGAAACCCAAAATTTTGGATCCTCTCCAAATCAGGGTATGGATCCAAGAGGTCGGACTTATACCCAAACTTTGGATCCAAATACTAATTCG